CCGATCCCTTCAAGCTTCCAAACATCTTGCCTATAAATAGAGAGGTTATTTTCAACCTAAGATACGAACGCACAAGCCTTGAAACTCCCTCAAACACTCTCAAACTCAAAATTGCTCCCAAATTCCATTTTTTGTGGCATTTCTGACTTTGAACATCCAACTCAGAATTCACTTGTGCATTTTCACTGTAAATCAATCACAAAGCTTCCATACATCATTTAGAACTTATCCAAGACCCTGCTACACAACTGTAACACCTCCATCATCATCCTCCATTTCCAAAAACAGAGTTATGCACATTGACTTCTACAGGAAGATTCAACCACTCTCAATCCAAACTAAGTATTGCATTAGCTTCCTAGGAGTCCAGTGAAGTTATTCAAACCATCATAACATCTCCAAGATTGCTCAAACTTCAAACACAATTTTCAGTTTTGAGGTAAGTTTTATTAACTTTGAACTTCTCATACAAGCATCATTAATAGTTATTTTGTAAATATAAAATATAGACATCATTTCCCTGATGCTAACCATGCCCTTAGTTTTCATTCATCTTGCCTAAGTGATACAAAATTTGAAGTTGAAGTTACAAAAAAATTAGGTCAGAATTTGGTACCAACAGAAATTCGTGTTCATCTTTGATTGTTAGCTTAAATTATTTATATGGTTGAAATCGTTATGAAATTTCTAACAAGTTTGACGTCTACACTTTCTAAAATGGTTGAGAAATGAGCAAGTTTGAAATTCAAAAATGGCTGGCGCGAGGAAGAAGATGAAGTACAGTCAAAGCAAGTTTATTTTATATTTAATAGTTGTTCATAAAATAACGGATGTATCACCACCCCAGTTGCTAAAGCGCACGCCTGTCACCTATGGAACCTGGGTTCGAGCCCCAACGTCCCATTTTGTTATTCTTCTAACAATTTTTTGTTCCTTGTTTTGTTCTAGCGCGTTTGGGCCTCCCTGACTTTGGGCCTTAGCATTTTTTCCTTTCAATCACCCCCATTTTGCTATTCAACGCAGGCCCAGCATACTTTTTTTTTATTATCTTCAGCATCAAACAAAAACTGATGTTTTGGGCCTAGCGCCCCATTTTATTTTTCAACACTCGTTTCACTTTTTAAACCCCCCAACCCAAAACTTTTATATTCTTTATATTTTTTTCTATACTTTATTTATTTATTTATTTATTTATCTAAACCAAAGAACATTCAAAATATATTTTCTTAATTAAATTAAAAATGTTTTTAATTTATGCATTTTATTTTATTTTTATTAAATCAAATTTTATTATTTTTCTTTTACAAATTAACATTAACATTCATACTATTTTCTAAACAAAATTACTTTAAACTTAGGTTTATTTTTTTCTTAAATTTAATTAATTTAGATTTTAGGTTTTTTTAAATAATTAATTGACCTTCTTTATAAACTAATTAGTTTAATTAAGTTAATTAAAACCTTTCTATCAAAAGCCATAAAAACAATTTTCTTTTCTTCATCTTTACATTTTTTGTACATTTTATTATCTTGCATTACAATTTATGTAACTGTCAAAGTCTTGTAATAGTAATTAGGGTTTACTTTACTTGTCATCCCCATTTGTAAATTTGTACCCCCCATTTTCAAAGCGTTGTAATAGCGTAGGATATTTAATTTCCGTAATTTATCGTTTTCCTTATTATTGTTAGTAATTAGGATTTGTATGGCAAGACTTAAAACAAACATTAGACAACCCTAATTCAAGATAAAATAAATTAAATCAAACACACTTTGCACACTTACTCCTCTAGAGTAACCCACACTTGTTGCCTCGGATAAAAACAGTCATGTCCCTCGAATATGAGATGTTTTAGCAAAAGACCCCCGATTAAAAGATCATAGTCCCTCGATGATCCTTCAAACGTTATCTTCGGTAAATGATTTTAGTCTCTTACGACAATTGCTAAAACACCTTACAAGTTGCCTTCTATGACTGTACGACGACCCACGTCTGTCCCTCACATCCAATGATATGACTTCCTACTAATTAATGGTAGACAATCACTATCTAAAGGAGGAGGAAAAGAACCAAGACTTTTTGAGTAGGTAGATTGCTCGCTCACAAACAAAGCTATTTCCACACTTCACACTTTCAAACATCTTTCAAAGAAAACATTTTATATACATTCTCAACGATACGTGAATCATTACAAAATTGCCTTACATTGACATTTTCAAAATATATTTCAAACCATTCCCTTTTCAACAAATATTTTCAAAACCAACACTTTGTATACATTCTCAACGATACGAGAATCATTACAAAGTTTGCCGAACTAAGGCGTTTTCAAAATATTTTCAAACTTACACAAACACAAAACATTTCAAAATGATCAAGCAATTAAGAGCCCGTAGATAACTACGGATAAAAAGGATGTTAACACCTTCCCTTTTCATAACCTACTCCTCGAACTCAAGAAAATTCTCAAAAGGTCTTTCATGTTCTTTTCACACTTTCCTTTATTGGATAAAAGAAAAGTCGGTGGCGACTCTTGCTATCCGCAACATTTGAAATAAAAAGCAAAACACCCAAGTCAGTTCTCTCACCGTATCACACCCTCCATACTAGAGCTACTTATTCCACTTTCTTTTTCTTTCACTTTGATCCTTCCACGTGTACCCAAAGTTGTCTTTTTGTTTTTGATGCTCAATTTCTGTCTCCTGCCACCCTGTCTCCTTACACTATTAATTCCCAGGCACGTGAGTGAACTAACCAGATCCTTTTTACGAATATTCCTCCTATTCTCGATATTTTCTCCACTCCCAACGCCAACTGTCTCACCTGTATTAATACCTTCCTCATTTGGACTTGTTGTAGTAAAAATAGCAATGAATCTTTCCCTTTATTGCTCATATTATTGTCTTTAGCAGTAACAATATTGTCATTAATTTCATGATTCTCACCTTCCAAAATCAGAAAATGCGATCCACCCGATTTAATTTTGTCATTAAAACTTTCCAGAATAATGTTTTTTCAACCCTCCGTTGTCTTCCTCCCTCTCCGTGTCTTTTGAACCACCTTCAAAGGTCCACCTTCAACACCAATGCCTCCTTGTTCATAATATTTACCACTAGTTTCTTTGATCAGATTATCTCCTTTGTTGCCACTGCTCTCATCCTATTTGTTCTTCCCTTTGATTAGTGACGAACAACCTTGTTTTGAATGCCCATATCTAACACAAGCAAGACATAGAAAATGGAGTCCTTCATATTCTATCTTGCAACTGCTTCCTTGGATTTTAAGCATGGCTAATAATGAATTTGATAGTCTCACTGCAACACATATGTGTGCATAATTTCCTCTCTCCTGCTTAATCGTGGTTTTATCCACCTTAATTGTATGACCTATGCGATCTCCAAATACTGAGAGTGCTCTTGAACATAGTATTCTATTAGGAGCCCCGAGATTCTAACCCAAACTGCAACTCTTCAATTGTGTCACTTTCTGGTTGAAAATTTGGACGTCAATCCTGCACCGTTAAATAGTGATCATAGATGAACCAGGATCCATTCGTCATCGCCGCCTTCTTGTCATCATCATGTGAGAAAGGCACAAGATAATAGTCGTTGCTAAGATCAATGATGTTGATAACTCCTTTCCGCACCCATATTTGATTCAACCTGCTCTCAAGTGCTTTGTAACCAATTCTCCTTCCTAACAGCTTGACAATGACTCCTCTTCTCCATGGTCTTTAAATTCTCTTCTCTTCCATCTCAGAGAAAACAAAGTTAGAGTAGTCATACCCACCAATCATCTCTTCCTCCACTCTAATATCTCCAAATTCGTCCTCTCGGACAGTTTCATCTTCCAGCCTAAAATCTCGTTCCTCCTCCATATCATCACCATTTCTACCAGTAATGATATCTCTGAATGAGACACCATTATTGTTCATATTGATCAAAGTTTCTTTAAATTTCCTCGTACTTCTTTCTTGCAGGTCAATCTCCGTTGTGTTCCTTCCTGACCTTGCCGGAGAGTTGTTTTCGTTCGCCGTTACAGGGATGCTTGCAAAACCTTGTAGAGGATTTATTGAATCACATGATTAGGCTCCTCCATTTTAAATCCATTTTGTAATGCCTAATAAATACTGTCAGATGTAATATGCCAGCTAATGTCATTTTGTTATATTTTTCTCGTCAACCTCAATTACTCTCTCTTTTATGTTCTCATTTCATCTTCTCTAATTAATCACTTTTCTTTCATTGATTCACCAATTTAGTTTGTGTATGTTCCAACAAATTAGCTCCTAGTAATAGACAACTTTCTTTTTATTCGTTTGAAGGATCATTACTGATATGCTATAAAGCCGAACGCACTTCATCAAAGACCAATTCTCCTACAAGTATGCTTATCCTATTTCAAATATTTTAAATTATGATCAATTTTGAGCATTTCTTAGAGATATAAACTGAGAAAACTACAAGTCAATTGCTTAAGACAACTCCATTGGTACTTCTCACTATAATAACGACAGTCACTGACTGAGACATGCAGCAACTAGTCGAGTATTCATTTCAAATGTGTCAGTTTTATCTTTTTTGCCTGAAGGCAGCCAAAAACCCAACACTGCTCCATTGCCAATGCCCAACAGATGTTTGTTCATTCATATCTTGAGATAAGAAGTGTTCCCTTGACAACAAGAATAATATTATTTGCTGATATATTCTATAATTGAACTTTTTATCGCTTTCCATTGGCGTACACATTATAGATCCTAATGGCCGCGATCATTATATTAAATTTCTTTTCAGGCGAAATCAATAACCTCAACATAAAAGAAAATGTCTCTATTAACATAGCAAAACTAAAAATGGATCTGTGCGAGTGCAAGCAGATGCATACCAACTTTTACTACCACTTTGATAAGACAGAAATGGGACACAAAAAAAAAGTAATATGCACATTATAGTTGCCTGCATTCATTTCATGAAATTTTATCATGATATCATCTGGTTATTCAATCTTGTTGATCTTTACCCAGTTCAAGATCTTTCAAAGGAATGTTGTCTATTCCAGCCGTCAATAATCTAATTTCTTCTTCAGTTAGGCTATTTTTGGCATGATGAGAGGTTTTTTCATTTGACTTTTTTTCAGCCTCTGCTGCCCAACTGTAAATTATCATGCCAATAACTGCGACGGCCATTCCCATGATATTCTTGACAGTTAGCTCTGAATCAAACAGCAGCCATCCCAATGTTAGGACACATACAGTTTTCATGTGGCCTAAAACTTGGAAAGAAACAGCTGAAAAGCGGCCAATGCAAAGATACTGGCTCACATTGCAAAATACAGCGAGCGAGCATGAAAGGAGAATGCATAACTGCAGAGGTTGAAAAAATGAAATGAATAATAACCCATGGCTGTTTTGGTAAATAGAGTAGAGTTAAGAAAGGGAAAAGGAACTTACAAAGGCAGCATAAGTCATGTTATAGTTGGTTATCAATTTCCCACTAAGGTAGTAATCAACAAATGGACCAAGAATAAGAAGAAAGAGAGCTTGAATGGGAGCAGTCTTACTCAGCAGCTCAAAAGATCCAACTGAATATTTCTTTTGAAGAGAACCTATTGACTGCAGCACAAAGGTGAATATAAAAAAGAAACAGTCATCTAACAGTAGAGTGTAAGTTGTGATATTCATCATTAAGTAATGAAGATTAAAAGATAATAATTACAATCTGTTGTAAAGACGTTGAGAAAACTGCTATAGCGGCACATGTAAAACCTTTGAGGTTAACTTCTACATCAGTTACAGTACAAACACCAACACCAATAACCACAACGACCACTGAAATTTTGACTTCCCTTGTGTAGTGTTTGTTGTGAAGAATCCATTCCATAACACAAACCACAGGAATCATGCTTAATTTTGATATCTGTGAGTATAGATAGATGCATTGGTTAAAAATGAGAGAGTTGATTGATTAAAAATAAAATAAAAAAAGAAAAAAGAAAGAAGAATGAATACTTGGTAGAATCCAACGGAGTTGAGCATGAGGCTAAAATTCATGCCAGTGATAGACAAATTGGCGACCATTGAGAACCAAAGAAGCTCCCAGAAGGGGACATGCTTTGATGCTGAGTAACCAGTAGCATTTGACACAATACCAACTAGAGCAGTAACAGCAAAATGGAATCCAGTTAACGTGCTCGCTGAAATTAACCACCATAGAATAGAAGGATGTCATAAAAATACAAAATGAAGAATGAGTAGTATTAATCAAATTAATTTTAAAAAAACAAAAAAAAACGTAGCGGTAATGAAATGTAAGAAAGAGATCTAAGATCCGCTGACCAAAACTGAAAACGTAGCCATTGTTAGACATGAGTTGTTTGTTGGCCATGATAATCCCGACGGAGCTGACAATGTTCATGGCCCATGCTCCAAAATTAGATATGGATGCCGACGACGACGGTTTCTTTACGCTCTCCGTCATCATCTTCTTCTTGATTAATTCTATTTCTATAGATCTAACTAACTAATTCTTCATTCGCCAACCATTACTACTAAACACGCTTTAATTGCGTCTCTCATTATCATTTCAGACAACACCCGACCGGGCCGGATTATTTATGCATCTTTCTCCTCCCACCACACTTCCTTCACCGCTTTACGACACCACCCTCTCAATATGCCTTCTTTTTTTTTACATCCCTAACCTTTTTATAACCATCTAACTCATTTCTTTTCTTTTAATTATATTTTAGTTTTTAGGAATACTTTTTAATAAGGTAATTCTAAATTTTTTAAAGAAATTAATAAATTTAAATCATTCAATTGAAATTCATTTATTTAAATAAAATATTAAAATGATTTATTGTTAAATTTTTAGAGTCATTTTTATAAATTTTAAAATTTTTTTAGTCAAATTTAAAATATAAAAAATAAGGATCAATATGTAACTTTTGAAAATGTGAAGGCAACAACAACTTGGAAGCTGACCTCATTTGAGTCTGGAGAAATGTTAGTGACTAGAATATACACACAGTCAAAACTATTTAAAAGGAGTCATAACTATTCAAAAGAAGAAGATGGGGATAGAAACATACGACTTATTGTAAGAACAAGAACTGTTTTTATATTTGATCTTGAGATTTTGATGATAACTTTACATGTTATCTTAGAGAACAATTATATACACTGATGATTTTGTTCTAGTGTGTAGCTTCTGCTATAATATTCTGACTCTGGTATAAGGCGTGCGAGATCATCAGGTTTTGAGCATACATTACTGGAAGAAAACATGTGGTTACGTGTTACAGTTGAAGTCAAAGTTCTGAATTTATCTTCTACAATGTGTCTAAGGGACGTTAGTACAAGTGGTTCTGATCGTGACTTTGGGTTTAAGCTTTGGAGGTCTTCTAAAGCTTTGCTTCTATGTGTTACAAGTTCTAAAAATTATGAAGACGAGGTTCTGCTCAACAAGTTCTGATGATCTGAAGAAAAGCAAGTTCTTACAACCAAGTGTTGAAGACTCTGAAGACAAGGTTCTGTGTGACAAGTTCTGAAGACTCCAAGGCTTAGGTTCTAAGACTTAAGAAAGATTCTTTTACAACAAACTTCAACGTTCAATATTTAAATATCTGAAACCTCTGAAGATAAGAAGAAAGTTCAAAATGGTTAACGCGTGATGGTGTCAAAAACTATCTAAGGTATTTGTGACCTCTACTCTTCTAGAGTGGTGCAAGGACATTCATTTCATACTTTACTGTGACCACTCTCATTATGACAGTTGAGAACTAATAACTAGATTTTTGATTACCTTTCTACCCTTTTAACATATCTCTTTTATAACCTATAAAAGGAAGACTTGGAAGTTTAAGAAATGCAAGAATCAAAATTACAATGACAAATCTATTGGATTAAATCAAGCTCAATAAAACTACACAAAAGTGTTGTGCAAACTCTGTAGAGAAATTATCCGTGTATAGTTTTATAAATAAGCAAGGAGTTGTTGCTCGTATATTGCAGTAGAACACTTAGGTTTTTTTCATTGTACTGAAAAGTCTGTGTAATATACTTACAAGAAGTAAATATGTAATACACTAAAAGTAATCAATTGTTGTTGAATGATACCTTGAGAGACCGAGTGAAGGTATAATCTCAAGAAGACTCCTGATGCGGCTTGGGTGGATTTTTACAATAAGGATCGACGAACTTATTGGGGGTGCCAATAAGGTTGATCAAACTTATTGTGGATTATTCTGTAATCCATTTGGTTATAATGGATTAAGTCCTTGTTGAAGGCAAAATCATCCTTTGAGGGGATGGACTGGAGTAGCTTAGTTAACAGCAAACCAGGATAAAAATCACTATGTTCATTTACTGCTATGTTCTAAGCTAATTTATTTTGTCACCAACGAAAAGATTTTATTTAGTGAAACCCAATTCAACCCTCCTTCTTGTGTTTCTCACACCTTCAATTGGTATCAGAGCTCTAGTTCTGGTATTGATAGTTATCAAACACTTAATTGTGTCAGATAAAGATCCAGATGAGTTTTTTGTTAAAGAAACACAATGGTTGAACCCACACTAGCTGTTGCTGCATCAGATTCAAATGATAAAAGTTATAATGTTAAACCTCCCATCTTTGATGGAGAAAAGTTTGAATACTGGAAAGATAGACTAGAAATTTTCTTTTTAGGCATGATATTGATCTTTGGAATATGGTAGTCGATGGCTACGTACCTCCCACAAATAATGCTGGAAAAGAGATAGTTAGGAGAGCTATGACCGATCAACAAAAGAAAGATTGTAAGAATCATCATAAAGCAAGAACCATCTTGCTGAATGCGATTTCTTATACTGAGTATGTGAAGATCGCAAATAGAGAGTTTGCTAAGTCTATATTTGATTCTCTCAAAATGACTCATGAAGGAAATGGTCAAGTCAAAGAAACCAAGGCATTGACCTTGATTCAGAAGTATGAAGCCTTTAAAATGGAGGATGATGAAAGCATTGAAGTCAGGGGTTTAGAAACTAGTTAGGAGGTTAGAAAATAAAAGAGTTTTTATTGTTGGGCAAACTGTTTTTGAAATCAGAAAACAAAAATGAAAAATAAAAAATGTAATGGACTGCGCATGAGAAGTAGAATGGGGGGTGAGAAGTTCAGGAACAACTCAGGCCCAAAAGGGAGGAGCCCAGGCACGCTAGCAAAAAAAAGGTAAAAAAATGTAATGAAGAATAACAAAATGTGACACTGGGGCTCAAACCCAGGTCACAAGAGTCATAGACGCGCTTTAGCCACTAGAGTGGTGATACATTCATTAATTTATGCATAACTAATATATTATATTTTAAACAGGCTCCTGACTATATCATCTTCTTCTTCCTCGCGCCATTTCTTCATCACCATTTTTGAACTTTGTAACTTTCTCATTTCTCAACCATTTCAGAAATTGTAAACATCAAACTTGTTAGAAATTTCACCACGATTTCAAATATGTAAATAAATTAAATAAATGGATCAAAGACGAATGAGAATTTCAGTTGGTACCAAATCTGACCTAACTTTTCCAGGAAGTTCAAACTTGAAATTCACACTACTCATGCAATATAAATGAAATCTAAGGGTATGGTTAACTTCAGGGCTATGATGTCTACATTTTATCTTCACAAATGAACCAATAATGATATTTGTAGAGAGAGTTCATAATTAAGGAAACTTACCTCAAAATTGGAAATTGTATTCTGAGTTTGAGCACTCCTCAAGGTGTTGTGAAGATCAGAATAGCTTCAGTGACCCTCCAGGAAGCTAATGCAATGCTTAGTTTATGCTGAGGATGACTGAATCATGCTGGAGAAGTCCAGTTGTAGAACTCTATTTTTGAGTTTGGAAGGTGATGAAAATGGAGTTACAGTTGTGGAACAAGGGTAGGGATGGACTATATTTGATGTATGGAAGCTTCAAAATTGGTTTAAAGAGGAAATGCACGAGGGAAATGTGAGTTTGAGGTTCTTGGGTATAAATGACAAGTTATGGAGGTTGAAGTGCAATCCCGAGTTTTAGAGAGTTTGTGGGAGTTTTTAGGCTTCTCATTTCGTGTCATGGCTTGCAAAATGCATCTCTATTTATAGAGAAAATATTAGAATGATTGAGAATATCAATTTTGAAGTTTTAAAGTTTTTGGCTTGTTTTGGAAATACAAAGATTTTGTTGCTTCATGATGAAGAAAGTGAGTGATTCAAGAGATTTGCCATGCTTTTACTGACTTCTTGAGATTTATTTTGATATTAAGATTGTATAGGATCTTATTAGGAGTAAATCATAAGTTTAAGCAAAGAGTTGTTAGCATAAAGCTTGTTTTACCAAAATGGTAAAGTGACTTTATGCAAATTATCCAAAAATGGTATCAAGACTTGGACAATGCTTCTAATCTTTGTGTAATACATTTAGAACTTGTGTAAATTTCTGATCCTGGTGAGATTTAGAAGTCAAATGGCTTAAAAAGTGGGATTATATAGGATAGGTTTGAGATTTTGCTATGAGTTCATCATAAAAATGGTTTATAATTTAAGTTTATCATGTCATCTTCATCTCTTCGAATCTCTTAGATAAAAAATGATCTCTTCAAGTTATTGGACATTTTGGAAAGGTTTAAACATCCTATACAACTTTCATGTTTTCCATTTTTGCTAAATAAAATTGGATCTAGGTGAAAATTGGCCAATAAGTTAGGGCAAAATCCTGACTAAATTGATCAAAATTTTCACTAAGTGTTTTTAGAAAAAGTGCACGACTTCATGAATTTGTAACTCAAAATCCAAGAACTTCTAGGACTTGATAAGAAAATTAAATTTGTAGATCTCATCAAGATCTACAAATTTCATGTTGAAAGTTTTATTTGAATCATCTTGCATCTTTGGTGAAAAATTGGCATGAAGTAATGAAATCATCATGTACAAAACACTTAGAAAAATTTCTAAGTCTTGGAAAGTTTGACTTTTCAAATTGAATTTTGACTTTAATGATGATCAAACTGAATATTTTTTTAATGTCTTGATGAATTTTTATCTTTGAAACTCAAATTTGACAAAAAAAATCAAAGTTTGACTTTTTGGTGTATCAGTTGACTTTTCATCAGTTGATCCAAAATTCAACTATCAATCCATTAATCTTGAGAGATGATTTGAGCCATGTAATTAGGTAAACATGTTGTATTTGAATCCTTGAGATTGTGTTTCAAACCATTGGATCATGTATTAGGTCAAAAGTCAATGATCAGTCAATTACAATCAAAACCCTAATCTTGACCGTTTTACCCTTTTGGTGAATTGGGTGCTTTTCTTGAGGAATTGTGATCAACACTTGATCAATGGATAAATATGACTTCAAAACGCTGATAGGGTCCAAAAATCATGAAGTTTGACTATAGGTTGACCATAATTGACTTTTTAACCAATACAGTTGATTTTCAGTCATTTGATCAATTGACTGAG